TTGTTTCCATGTCCTGGCTATTGTAAATAGTGCTGCAATGAACATTGTGGTACATAACTCTTCTTGAATTATGGTTTTCTCAGGGTATATGCCCAGTAGCGGGATTGCTGGGTTGTATGGTAGTTCTATTTTTAGTTTTTTAAGGAACCTCCATACTGTTCTCCATAGTGGCTGTATCAATTTATATTACCACCAACAGTGCAAGAGGGTTCCCTTTTCTCCACACCCTCTCCAGCATTTTTTGTTTGTAGATTTTCTGATGATGGCCATTATGACTGGTGTGAGGAGATACCTCACTGTAGTTTTCATTTGCATTTCTCTAATGAGTAGTGATGTTGAGCATCCTTTCATGTGTTTGCTGGCAATCTGTATATCTTCTTTGGAAGAATGTCTATTTAGACTTCTGCCCATTTTTGGATTGGGTTGTTTGTTTTTTTGATACTGAGCTGCATGAGCAGCTTGTATATTTTGGAGATTAATCCTTTGTCAGTTGCTTTGTTTGCAAATATTTTCTCCCATTCTGAGGGCATTTTTTTTGTGTATGTGTCTTGTTTATGGTTTCTTGGCTGTGCAAAAGCTTTTAAGTTTCATTAGACCCCATTTGTTTATTTTTGTTTTTATTTCCATTTCTCTAGGAGGTGGGTCAAAAAGAATCTTGCTGTGATTTATGTCATAGAGTGTTCTGCCTATGTTTTCCTCTAAGAGTTTTATAGTGTCTGGTCTTACATTTAGGTCTTTAAACCATTTTGATTTTTTTTGTGTGTATGGTGTTAGGGAGTGTTCTAATTTCATTCTTTTACATGTAGCAGTCCAGTTTTCCCAGCATCACTTATTGAAGAAGCTGTCTTTTCTCCATTGTATATTCTTGCCTCCTTTATCAAAGATAAGGTGACCATATGTGTGTGGCTTTATCTCTGGGCTTTCTATCCAGTTCCATTCAGCTATATTTCTGTTTTTGTGCCAGTACCATACTGTCTTGATTACTGTAGCTTTGCAATATAGCCTGAAGTCCAGGAGCCTGATTCCTCCAGCTCCATGTTTCATTCCCAAGATTGCTCTGGCTACTCGGGGTCTTTTGGGTTTCCATACAAATTGTGAATTTTTTTGTTCTAGTTCTGTGAAAAATCCCATTGGTAGTTTGATAGGGATTGCATTGAATCTGTAGATTGCTTTGGGTAGTACAGTCATTTTCACAATGCTCATTCTTCCAATCTAAGAACATGGTATATTTCTACATCTGTTTGTATCATCTTTAATTTCTTTCATCAGTGTCTTGTAGTTTTCTGCAAACAGGTCTTTTGTCTCCTTAGGTAGGTTTATTCCTAGGTATTTTATTCTTTTTGTTGCAATGGCAAATGGAAGTGTTTCCTTAATTTCTCTTTCAGATTTTTCGTCATTAATGTGGAGAAATGCAAGAGATTCCTGTGCATTACTTTTGTATCCTGCTACTTTACCAAATTCATTGATTAGCTCTAGTAGTTTTCTGGTAGCACCTTTAGGATTCTCTATGTATAGTATCATGTCATCTGCAAACAGTGACAGTTTTACTTCTTCTTTTCTAATTTGGATCCCTTTTATTTCTTTTTCTTCTCTAATTGCTGTGGCTAAACCTTCCAAAACTATGTTGAATAAGAGTGGTGAGAGTGGGCAACTTTGTCTTGTTCCTGATCTTAGTGGAAATGGTTTCAGTTTTTCGCCATTGAGGATGATGTTGGCTGTGGGTTTGTCATATATGGACTTTATTATGTTGAGGTAAATTCCCTCTATGCTTACTTTCTGGAGGGTTTTTATCATAAATGGGTGTTGAATTTTGTTGAAAGCTTTCTCTGCATCTATTGAGATGATCATATGGTTTTTCTCCTTCAGTTTATTAAGGTGGTGTATCACATTGACTGATTTGTGTATATAAGAATCCTTGCATTCCTGGGATAAACCACACTTGATCATATTGTATGATCCTTTTAATGCACTGTTGGATTCTGTTTGCTAGTGTTTTGTTGAGGATTTTTTGCATCTGTGTTCATCAGTGATACTGGCCTGTAGTTTTCTTTTTTTGTGACATCTCTGTCTAGTCTTGGTATCAGCTGGATGGTGGCCTTGTAGAATGAGTTTGGGAGTGTTCCATCCTCTGCTATGTTTTGGAAGAGTTTGAGAAGGATAGGTTTTGACTCTTCTCTACATGTTTGATACAATTCGCCTGTGAAGCTATCTGGTCCTGGGCTTTTGTTTGTTGGAAGATTTTAAATCACAGTTTCAATTTCAGTTCTGTGATTGGCCTGTTTATATTTTGTATTTCTTCCTTGTTCAGTCTTGGAAGGTTGTGCTTTTCTAAGAATTTGTCTATGTCTTCCAGGTTGTCCATTTTATTGGCATATAATTACTTGTAGTAATCTCTCATGATCCTTTGTATTTCTGCAGTGTCAGTTGTTACTTCTCCTTTTTCATTTCTAATTCTATTGATTTGAATCTTTTCCCTTGTTTCCTTGATGAGTCTGTCAAATGGTTTATTAATTTTGTTTATCTTCTCAAAGAACCAGCTTTTAGTTTTATTGATCTTTGCTATCATTTCCTTCATGTCTTTTTCATTTATTTCTGATCTGATCTTTATGATTTCTTTCCTTCTGCTAACTTTGGGGTTTTTTTGTTCTTCTTTCTCTAATTGCTTTAGGTTTAAGTTTAGGTTTTTTTATTTGAGATGTTTGTTGTTTCTTGAGGTAGGATTGTATTGCTATAAACTTCCCTCTTAGAAATGCTTTTGCTGCATCCCATAGGTTTTGGGTCATCGTGTTTTCACTGTCATTTGTTTCTAGATATTTTTTGATTTCCTCTTTGATTTCTCCAGTGATCTTTTGGTTAGTTAGTAGTGTATTGTTTAGCGTCCATGTGTTTGTATTTTTTGCAGATTTTTTCCTGTAATTGATATCTAGTCTTATAGCATTGTGGTCTGAAAAGATACTTGATAAGATTTCAGTATTCTTAAATTTACCAAGGCTTGATTTGTGACCCAGGATATGATGTATTCTGGAGACTGTTCCATGAGCCCTTGAGAAGAGAGTGTATTCTGCTGTTTTGGGATGGAATGTCCTAGAAATATCATTTAAGTCCCTCTTGTTTAATGTGTCATTTAAAGCCTGTGTTTCCTTATCTATTTTCATTTTGGATGATCTGTCCATTGGTGAAATAGAGTCTTAAAGTCCCCTACTATTATTGTGTTACTGTCGATTTCCCCTTTTATGGCTGTTAGCATTTGCCTTGTGTATTGAGGTTCTCCTAATGTTGGGTGCATAAATACTTACAATTGTTATATCTTCTTCTTGGATTTACCCCTTGATCATTATGTAGTGTCCTTCTTTGTCTCTTGTAATAGTCTTTATTTTAAAGTCTATTTTGTCTGATATGAGAATTGCTACTCCAGTTTTCTTTTGACTTCTAGTTGCATGGAATATCTTTTTCCATCCCCTCACTTTCAGTCTGTATGTGTCCCTAGGTCTGAAGTAGGTCTCCTGTAGACAGCGTATATATGGGTCCTGTTTTTGTATCCATTCAGCCAGTCTATGTCTTTTGAGTGGAGCATTTAATCCATCTACATTTAAGGTAATTATCTATATGTATGTTCCTATTACCATTTCTTAATTGTTTTGGGTTTGTTTTTGTAGGTCTTTTCCTTCTCTTGTGTTTCCTGCCTAGAGAAGTTCCTTTAGCATTTGTTGTAAAGCTGGTTTGGTGATGCTAATTTCTCTTAGCTTTTGCTTGTCTGTAAAGGTTTTAATTTCTCCATCAAATCTGAATGAGATCCTTGATGGGTAGAGTAATCTTGGTCGTATGTTTTTTCCTTTCATCACTTTAAATATGTCCTGCCACTCCCTTGTTTTTGCAGAGTTTCTGCTGGAAGATCAGCTGTTAACCTTATGGGAATTCCCTTGTATGTTATTTGTTGCTTTTCCCTGCTACTTTTAATATTTTTTCTTTGTATTTAATTTTTGATAGTTTGATTAGTATGTGTCTTAGCATGTTTCTCCTTGGATTTATCCTGTATGGGATTCTCTGTGCTTCCTGGACTTGATTGACTATTTCCCCTCCCATGTTAGGGAAGTTTTCAACTATAATCTCTTCAAATAGTTTCTCAGACCCTTTCTTTTTCTCTTCTCCTGGGACCACTATATTCAAATGTTGGTGCATTTAATGTTGTCCCAGAGGTGTCTGGGACTGTCCTGAATTCTTTTCATTTTTTTTTTTCTTTATTCTGCTCTGCAGTAGCTATTTCCACTACTTTGTCTTCCAGGTCACTTATCCATTCTTCTGCCTCAATTATTCTGCTATTGATTCCTTCTAGAGAATTTTTAATTTCATTTGTTGTGTTGTTTGTCATTGTTTGCTCTTGGTTCTTTTAGGTCCTTGTTAAACATTTGTTGTATTTTCTCCATTCTATTTCCAAGATTTTGGATCATCTTTACTATTAGTACTCTGAATTATTTTTCAGGTAGACTTCCTATTTTCTTCATTTGTATGGTCTGGTGGGTTTTTGTGTTGCTCCTTCATCTGCTCTGTGTTTCTCTGTCTTCTCATTTTGCTTAACTTACTGTGTTTGGCATCACCTTTTCGCAGGTTGCAGGTTCATAGTTCCCATTGTTTTTGGTGTCTGCCCTCAGTGGTTAAGGTTGGTTCAGTGGGTTGTGTAGGCTTCCTGGTGGAGGGGACTGGTGCCTGTGTTCTGGTGGATGAGTCTGGATCTTGTCTTTCTGGTGGGCAGGGCTGCATCTGATGGTGCGTTTTGGGGTGTCTGTGAACTTATTATGATTTTAGGCATCTTCTCCGCTAATAGGTGGGGTTGTGTTCCTGTCTTGCTAATTGTTTGGTGTGGGGTGTCAAGCACTGGAGGTGATGGTCATTGAGTGGAGCTGGGTCTTAGCATTGAGATAGAGATCTCTGGGAGATACTACAAGGGGTCGGGAGGTCTCTGGTGGACCAAAGTCCTGAACTCAGCTCTCCCATTTCAGTGACTCAGGCCTGACACCGGCTGGAGCACCAAGACCCTGTCAGCCACATGGCTAGGTACGTTGGGAGTTTCTTGCCTTTTGGGAAGTCTGAGGTCTTCTGCCAGCATTCTGTAGGTGTTCTGTAGAAGTTGTTCCACATTTAGATATATTTTTGGTGTATCTGTGGGGAGGAAGGTGATCTGCACATCTTACTCCCCCACCATCTTGTAGGTCCTCCTTCAAATTTTCTTTCTATAATTAGAGTAATACAATGGCCCCACTCACAATGGTTTGCAGCATTTAGTTTGTTTTTCTTCACATAAATATTACTCACAAATTTTAATTGTGTAAGAAATCATAGTGGTAAGGAAAGATAAGTCATGTGAATACATTTATTTCAGTATATTTTTTAAAAAGTGGTAATTTTTTAAAAGCAGTGAATTCCTGGGTCGACCTAGTAGCAGAACCTGGGGGGGGGGTGTCCTCTGGTACCAAGTATACATCTATTTCCCTGGGTTCCTGCCTGCAGAGTGACCTAGGTGAGTCCCTCAATCATTTTAGGACTTCATTCCCTTATAAGTAAATGAAGTTGATGACCTGCCCTTCTGATTTCCCCAAGCAACTATAAAGATAAAATGAAATGGGCTGCAAATCATAAAGCACTAAGCTATGATGCTATGATATTTAGTACTGTTTCAGTCCTCTAGTTTGCTTTCAGTCCAGTTATGTATACTTTTTTGATTGAGAGTGTGACGTACAAGTTTGAGTCATATCAGTTTGTTTCTTTAAAATATGTACAGACATACATTTTTTTTCTCCTTTTGGTTGTACATATCCCCATGCATTTTAAAACTTTCTAAACTTTCTAAATTTCTGAATGACCTATGTTTAAATTTTTGTTTTTATATACTGAAATTATACAAATTTTGTGTGTGTCAAGAACTTGTTCCATATGACTGTGGTATTGAAAATAATGTGAATAACTTTTGAAATAATATAACTATGCTTAATTTGTATTAAGAACTGGTACCACTATATAATACTTTTTTTCCCCTGTATTAAATCTTTTAAATACCAAGAAAAAAAAGGGACAGAGTATAAATCACAATTGTGATGTTAAATTATGTCTCAAATGTCATGTATAAGGGACAGAGTATAAATCACATTTGTGATGTTAAATTATGTCTCAAATGTCATGACTTCATCTTCAGGACCTTTCTGCAGGGGAAATCTGAGACAGCGGTTCTATTGCCTGTTTCTCTTCAGCCTTTGAACCTGCCCACCTGCATTGCCTCCTTCTATTCTTTCTGCCGCTGCTGACATGGGTTTGTGACCTCCCACCACTGGATGACATTATTGATTTCTCCTCACATTCTTTGCCATGAGCTTGCAAATACTTTCATTTGTCTCAGGGGCTCTGAGCCTCACCACCTTGCTTCTCATTCCTGCCTCCTCCACCCTTCGGAAAAGCTTTGCCTGTGAAACTGGCCTCTGCTACCCTCCCCAACTTTTTCATTCATGGGCTTGCTGGGCCCATCTCCTCTGATGTGCCTCTTCTCCTCAGTGGGTTCTTGTTGTCTCAGCTGCTTGGGATGCTTGTGTGACTTCCCTGACCCGGGACAGACTCCACCTGCCTTCTTTCCTCTCCCACACTGATGAGAACCCCCATTTTACCCTGCTGGGGATGCATCCCAGCCAAAGCTCAGCAGGCTGAGGCTACAGACCCCATGTTGAAGAAGGAGTCCTGCCTCTTCCTCTCTTGGGCCTCCATTTGGGGAAGCCACCAGGAAGGAAAGGGCCAATCTGTGGTTTTTCCTCTCTTTTCTTTCCAGTTTAACCTGCTAGTGTGCTGGGAAAGAGATCAGGCCTTTACCTGCAGAACGAATGAAATGAAACCCCAGGCTGCACATTCTCTGTGGAAGACCAAGATAGTTAACATCAGAAGGGAATTTGGGGAGTATCTTGTTCAGCTACCTCATTCCACAGGTGAGAAAGTAGAGACAGGAAGTGAAACGGCCTGCATGAGGGCATGATGCCAGGCCCGTGGTAGTACTGTGTATCTAAGATGATTAACATATGGTTCCTGTCCTGAGCTGCTCACACTCATGAGACAAGGACACATTTACTATATTGAGTGGACAGACATTGCTACCTACTGATTAACTAGTCCTCTCTCATAGTTTCCTTTTAATGAAGTCCTCCACCTCTCCAAAAGCAATCTACCATCTCCCTTCAGGTCTAGCTCCCAACCAATCTGTATGTAGATCTCAAAGTGTCATCAAAGGGATCTCCAAACCATGTCCTTTTCACTCCAGGCTGCTCCTTTACCCTCTGCCACACTTCTCCTTGGAGCTTGTGAGGATCTCCAGTGGGGATAGCATAGCTGAAGAAGACACCTCTCCCCCACTCTTTGCAAGGACTGAAGACCCTCTCACTACTCAGGGCACCGCAGGAAATTCCCAGCACTTTCATCAGCTCAGGGCCTCTGGAAGTGAAAAGAGACCTCTTTTTCCAAAAAATGATTTGACCTCTTTGGTCTATAATGTTACTGTGCATTGCTTGGGAGAGCCCAGGGGGTACCATAAGTTACTGGAAAAGTCCCTCTCTATTCTGCTTTTCATTTCATGAGCCCTTATTTCTTCTACAGGAGCGATGAGGAGAAGCTGGTTTAGAGATGTCCTTGGAGAGGGTGAGAAATTGGTAGGAAAAAACCTGTGGATCAATCATTGAGCACTTAACTTTTCAGGATCCTACATCAGTTATCTATGACTGTAGAACAAACTACTCCAAAACTCAGTGACTTAAAACAACTACTTTATTGCACATTGTTCTGTGGGTCAGGAATCTGGGCAAGGCTCAGTGGGATGACTTATCTCCACTCTACATGGTGTCCCCTGGGACTGCCCACCTGGGGCTGGAGCATCCAAAATGGCCTTATTTTTGTGTCTGAGGCCTTGGATATTTGTTGGGGTGCCTCAGTTGCCCACATGGCCTCTTTCTCCAGCAGGATAGTCTGGGATTCTTTACCTATTGGCTAAGTTTAGAAAGGAAAGCTTCTGTGTAAGAGCTTACCATGCCTCTGCTTGTGTCACTTGATGTCATCTCTTGACCAGGGCAAGTGACATGGCCAAGCTCAGAGTCAGTGTGATAAAGACTACACGAGGAGGCGTGATGCTTTGGGGACCATCTGCCGCCCCTAAAATACACAGTTGATCACCAAACAGTTCCTTGTGACAGAGACTATAGCTATGCAGTTCACTTATCCTCACCCCAGCTTGCAAGACTTTTTGAATCTCAGCCCATCCACCAATACCCACTCCCCTCTTTTACCCTGTCTGCTCACATTTCAGATAGCATCCCTGTACTCTGTACTAGAGCAGGTTACTTAGTTTCCAACTCATGTCAGCAAGCATGAGTAAAGAAGAGCTCTGGCCTTTTAGGGTGGGTTTAATAAACACTCTTCTCAAAATAAAATAATCTCTAGATTTTCCATTAGTGGGCATAGTCTGTGCAGAGGGTCAGGGTGAGGTACAGAGATATGGGCACCTGGCTGCACCCTGGCTTCAAGGGGCAAGGACGTCAGGGAAATAATATTGAAGCCATCTAGTCACAAGGAGTGGGTAATTGGCCTTGGGTTGCCAAGGAAGAGTGATTCAGAGTGTGATGCTAGAGTCAGTCCTGGGACATGTGATTAAACCATACTTAGTAACTCTGGAAAAACTAAGTACCCTCTCTGAGCTGCAGTTTCTACCTATGGAAAATAGGAACAATATATATCAATCAATCAACCAAGATTGTTTTGAAGATCAAATGGTAACACATGTCAGATATTTATCACTATGCCTATTACATAGCAATGTCTCGCAAGCTTGACTATTTTTATTGACACTAATGCAAACTTACCCATCTCCCCACTATTCTCCTTAAAAAATGAAATCCAAAAATATGTATATCCTAGTGCAGAAGAATAGGAGAAAAAAAGGAAGAAAAAAGTGAGGAAGGAGAATGAGAGAAAGAGAGGGTAAGAGACCAAAATAAAGGGAGAGAAGACAAAAAGGAGACAAAAAGGGGAGTGGGGAATAGGAGAGAAACAGAGACAAAAAAGAGATGGCAAGGCTGTGCACACACATGCTTTAAGACATCATTTTCCAAGAAGGACTCGCATCTCTGGGGTTACCCAAAGCTCACTTGGCTCCTGGCAAACCTAAAGCATTTGCCAGTGGGAGAGGCAGAGGGGTGTATGTCAGAGAGTAAATGAATGTTGCCACCCTAGGTGTCTGTACCAACTTGGACGGGATTGTATGGACAAAAAGGAAGGGAGTGGTAGTGGGGGAAGGGAACTATTTCTCAGAGCAAGGCTGAGTGATTGGCTGGGAATTCAACCATGAGACCTAGCCCATTAATAAGTCTGCAAATAATACATACAGCTTCTCCCTACATTTCCAGATCCCAAAGGAAAAACAGAACAGCCCAGCTCTCCACGTGCTTTTCCAGACCAAGTCCTTTCCAGTTTATCCCTCCTGCTTTGCACCTCTTTGGTCCCTTTCTTCCACCAGGGACCTAAGGGCTGGGTGTTGGTATGGATAGAAAGGGAAATTCTTGCCAAGAATGAGCAGGAGCAGAGTGACTTGAAGGTCCCATCCCTGATCCAAGATCCATTCTCTGTCATAACGTGACTCCTGGGCTGGGATTGCAGACTCCATCCATGTGCAGGTGGAAGAATTAGTGATGACTTAAAACCAGGATATGGATGGTGTGAAAACACCTTCTCTAATTTATGGAGCTCAAAACTTGGGATGATAAAAAGTGCTCCCCTTGGCAGGCAGGGTCACAAGAACTCTCTCTGGACATCAGCATCTCCAGATCTCCCCTTCTGGTTTATGTCACTGACCACAGTGCAGGCTCAATCACTTGAGAAGGACCCTCCTCCAAAATTGTTTGTGATGATATATTTCTTTCTTTCATATATAAGTATCTTTTAATAACTACTTTAAAAGATTTAGAATTAAGGGTAGAATATTTAGATTATAAATTCATATTATTAATATTTTTGTATTTAGAAATCTGTGCATTTTTGATACTTTATGTTCTTATCATATTTAAGGGAATTTGGTCTATTAGAATTACAGACTAACCTTGTAACTTCAATTTACAATAAGTAATTGAATGATTAATTTAGATATGAGTTTTGGTTGAAATCTTAGTTTATATCATATTCAAATAATTAAGAAAACTTAATCACTATTTTAAAAGGTTAATTTATTAGATTTATAAGAATCATTTAAGTAATTGAGAAAATTTATTGGACAATCAAAGTTCTTTTAAGTGAAATCCAATATATTAAATTTATCAATGTAGCACAGACTGTTTTCTTTAATAAGTTTGTAACTGGGATCAAATCTCCTTAAAAAGTGATGGTTAAACTCACTAACTCCATAATGAGAACTGTAAGATGTATAAATCAAAAGTAATAGATTAAAGAAGAGCTAGATTTTTGAACGGGAACCCTTAATTAATAGAATATTTTTAAAGTTTAATTTTAAAATGACCTCTGAATAACATTTTCTGCTCATAAAATCTACCTGGAGAACATAAAAGACATTGCATTAAGATTATTTTGTTCACGGTGATTATCAGCGTATTGGCTTTCTATTGCTGTATTAAAAAATTACCTCAAATTGAGCAGCTTAAATGAATGCCAATTATTTATTATGTCACAGTTTTCATGGGTCAGTAATCCAGGCACAAATTCACTGGGTCCTTGTCTCAGGGTTTTACAAGGCTGCAATTGAGATATCAGGCAGGGCTAGGGTCTCATCTGAGGATCGAGGTCCTCTTCCAAGTTCACATGAGTGTTGGCAGAATTCATTTCTTTGCAGCTATAGAACTCACAGTGGCTTGTCTCTTCCAGGTCAGCAAGAGAAAGCATCTCTAACTTCTAAACACTGTTTTAGTTTTAGCTTTTTATTTTATATTGGAGTATAGCCGATTAACAATGCGGTGATAGTTTCAGGTGCACAGCAAAGAAACTCAGCCATACATATACATGTATCCATTCTCCCCCAGACTCTCCTCCCATCCAGGCTGCCAAATAACATTGAGCAGAGTTCCCTGTGCCATACAGTAGGTCCTTGTTATAAACCCTGTTTTAAAGAGTTCATCTGATTAGGCCAGGCCCATCCAGGATAATCTCCCTCTTAATTAACTCAAAGCCAACAGACTGAGTGAAAGGAGGAAAGAAGTAGATGAGGTAGATTAAGAGATAGAAACTTCCAGTTGCAAACTATGTAAGTCATAGGTATGAAATGTGTAATGTGCAGAATATAGTCAACAACTATGTGGAATCTCTGTTTGGTGATATATTGTAACTAGACTTCTCATGGTGATTGTTTTGAAGTTTATAGAAATATCGAATCACTATGCTGTGTAACAGGAAATAACAGAGTGTTGTAGGTCAATTATACTTCAAAACAAACATACAAAGAAACTCATAGAGAAAGAGATCAGATTTGTGGTTACCAGAGGCAGGGGCTGAGGGAGGAGGAATTAGATAAAGTCAGTCAAAAAGTACAAACTTCCAGTTATAAGATAAATAAGTACTAGGGATGTGATATACAGCATGATGAATATAATTAACACTATGTTATATATGAAAATTGTTAAAAAAGTAAATCCTAAGAGTTCTCATCACAAGGAAAAAGTGTTTTCTGTTTTTTAATTCTGTTTTTTAAATTTTTCTATATGAGATGATGTTCACTAAACTTATTGTGATGATCATTTCACGATGTATGGAAGTGAAATCATTATGCTGTACACCTTAAACTTATACAGTGCTTAATAATACGTCAATTATATCTCAGTAATACTAGAAAAAATAAAATAAAACATTTAAGAAAGCCAACTGATTAAGGTCCTTAATTACCTCTGTGAAAGTTCATTTACCTTTGCCCTATAACGTAACAATCACAGGAGTAACACCTCATCAT